CGCTCCCGCGCATTATTGCTCGAGTTGTGGGTGCACCCCTACCCTGTTTTGGTGGTTCTCTTGCACCAATGCGACGCCCCGTGTCGACCACAGCAAGTAAGCGAGCATGGTTGGTGGGTTCCCCGCGAGATTCCAGATCCCTTGCTGCGACGTCATTGCCGTGGCTAGAGGTAAGCGATGGACCTAGTGGGCACAGCAGGTCTTGTGATCGAAAAAAACGATGAACGTGAACCTCGTGTTGCCAGGAGCCCTTCAGCAGCACTCTGTGAGTGTGTTGTCGCGGAATCGATCGGATCACTTGCGTGCTTATTCGCGTGTTCACACGGTTAACCAGTTTCGCGTGTTCACACGGCAAACCTGTTTTTTCGCTGCATGCTCTGTCGCTGTCCTCTTGTCATTGTGGCGGGTCTTTTGTTTTCTGTGTGTCTGTTCATTTTAGTTGTTTCCTGCGTGGTTTTGTTTTTGTTTTTGTTTATCCCTTTTGTCCTGTCTTCCCCGGATAGTGTATTTTCTCTATCGTTGTGGAGTACCAAGATTGAACCAGAGGATANGTCGCGGAATCGATCGGATCACTTGCGTGCTTATTCGCGTGTTCACACGGTTAACCAGTTTCGCGTGTTCACACGGTAAACCTGTTTTTTCGCTGCATGCTCTGTCGCTGTCCTCTTGTCATTGTGGCGGGTCTTTTGTTTTCTGTGTGTCTGTTCATTTTAGTTGTTTCCTGCGTGGTTTTGTTTTTGTTTTTGTTTATCCCTTTTGTCCTGTCTTCCCCGGATAGTGTATTTTCTCTATCGTTGTGGAGTACCAAGATTGAACCAGAGGATAAACTACAATATCTGGCCTGTGATTATACCTTTTTTTAGGCAGCGTAGCCTGTGACCACGGGAATCGCTCGGTCAAGTGTTTGATGACACAAGAAATAAGCGGTCTACGTTCGCGCACTTCCAGTTGAACGAACTAGGACCCTTTCTCGAAAGTGATTCACACACCCGCACCCGCATCGGCAGCTTCGAGGTCGTGGTTACATGCGGTGCTTCGGCCATAATACGTGAAAGCCAAAGTCTAACCGATGCCAATATGTCTAACGTATTCCTTCTGGTCCCCCATGATTGGACAACAGGTGGCACGATACTTTGCTTTCGGTCAGTCCGCCGTCGCGCGTCAATATCCCTTTCGGCCGCGGTCGGCAGAAACTAACCACGCTTTATCACTGCTGTCATTTCCCTCTTCTGTCGTTATCCATGTATCCCCCTCCTTCAATGCACGCAGAGGAGGACAAAATGGACGCTGTCATGGCCCTCATAAACCCGGCCTATCGCCTCAAATACCACCGCCAGACCTACGGCGACGACGCGTACCAGGTCATGCTGCCTGTGGCGTCCACGCTGGAGGAAGATGACACCCTGCTACCTCCTCTCGCCGTGGATGGTCAGGCCAACTCGGGCCGAAAAAGTTCAAGAGGATCGCGGGGCGCAGGGACAAGTACGCTTCATCGTCGTTCAACACGCGAGTTTCTGAACTCGGCCCGGCTGCATCCGGAACCACGGCGGCTCCCTCTCTGTCGCAGGGGGTGCCACGGCGGCTCCCTCTCTGTCGCAGGGGGGTGCCACAGCGACTCCCTCTTCGTCACAGGGGGGGCGTGCGGGCGGATCGGTCACGGTCGGGGGCATGGTGATCGGTTTGACACGCCGAGTGCCGCCCGCCGAATGAAGACGTGTGTTGCCGATACTACGCAATATTTTATTTTCATCCCGTGCATTCCCCGGTGAAGAATCGGGGATCGCGGGCCTCGACATTCATCTAGCCGACGACCAAATGGGTGATGGCGATGGTGAATAATGGTCGGCAGGGAGGTTTTTAGGATCTTTGATACTTTCGTCTTTCTCTGACTTTCGTGTTCCATGCGGTACGTTGGTTAAGTTCAATGCAAGGCGCAAGTGAGTGTGCTTACCCTTTCGCTTTGCATCTTTGATTTGTAGCACACACCCTCTGCTGACTAGGAACTTCCGGGGTACACGTTGCTGCTACACAGGGGAAGTAAACGAGCGTGTCGTGTTCAGATGTAGAGGTCGTAACCCGTATTCTGGTGTGGCATTCGAGGTCCTTGCGAGGGAGGGGGCGAGGGGGGCGGGCCACCACTTTCCTTGAAGAGATGAGAGTGTTCCCAAGATAATGTTTGGCTTATCCCGACTTTATTCCTCTCATAATGTAGCTAGCTGTCGGTTCGCATTTTTCTGCGGAACCCAACGCGTAAGTGTTGAATCAAGACGAAGTAACTGCTGTGTTGTCACAACGCCAAATTCACACGATGTACGATCGAATACCTAATGTGCTCAAAGGGTCATTCATGCATGATCGATACTTTTCTGAGGATTCCTGAGACAGACCTACGCAACATGCAGCTCTTCACTCCCGCGTAAAACACCTGTATGACTCTTATCTGTATTGTCAATTGAGCTACACCACAATTCTATCGTAAAGGTAACATCTACCTCTACTCTACAGTGTTGGTAACGACGCGAGGCATTGAGCCTGGACCGAGTCGACCGAATTGGACGTTGACGGTTGTTGGTGCACGCCACCGCCGTGCGGTCGATTAACACCCAGACATGCACGCACGGAAAGAAGACGGAAATACATAGCACCTGGCACAGCCAAAGAGGTATGCGGAATGGCCGTAGCTCCGTGCTCCTAGCTCCCTCGTAAAATCCCTTGCGGAGCAGCGCGTCCGCAGAACAGCGCAGAGGGTGTGTGTTTGTGTGTTGTGTGTTTTTATTCTTAGCATCGACCGCGCTAACCGGCTGACCAATGAAAAGACGTCAGTCTTAGTGCGGTTGAAAACACGAAATTCTTCTATCTATCATGAACTGGGACCCCGTGAGGGGGCAGCATGGGGGAGGCTAAATTATCCTTCGGATCAAAAACAGAAACAGCAGCAACAGAAGAAAACTGCACCCGTCTACCAAGGCTACTACCTAGTACTCGAGTTCGTTTGNCGGCTGACCAATGAAAAGACGTCAGTCTTAGTGCGGTTGAAAACACGAAATTCTTCTATCTACCATGAACTGGGACCCCGTGAGGGGGCAGCATGGGGGAGGCTAAACTATCCTTCGGATCAAAAACAGAAACAGCAGCAACAGAAGAAAAATGCACGCGTCTACCAAGGCTATTACCTAGTACTCGAGTTCGTTTAGGAGTACTTTCACCAGTGTCCTCCTTGTTTTCGCTACCATCATTCTGATCCTCATTTCGACAAGAAGAATCTCTGGGCAGTTCTTCCCTAGCCCTACGTTTCTTGTTGTGGGGAAGGTCATCTGGCTCAAACCCTTTGCTCTCTTCCACTCCTCCATGTTTTTCTGCTCCATCGTCGTCATCCTCCTTTCTCCCCTTTCCCTTTCCTTCGTCTTCGTCACTCCCAAAAGAATTACCCTCACCACTATCGTTGTCGCAGAGATCCCAACCGATTGGCCCTGGTGGAAGTTGGTCGATCAGTAGCCCATGACGTTTGAACACATCGCGAGTTCGCATCGACAGAAAACGAGCTAGATCGCAGGTAAACCGTCTCCGAATCCTGTTAGTATGAAACGCTTTCAGGCGGGCGAAGGCTCTTTCGTCTTCAAAATTCCCCCGGCAACAAGCTTCGTGCGCCAAGTGGTTGTACTCGAACCATCCTGTTATGGAGGAAGGTTGAGGCGCCGGCCTTGGTGCAGACGAGGGAGTGGGCTCGGCACAAGCGGTCCTTGCATGGTAACAATGCACCTGCACCACAAAGTTTGCCTGTGTTGCAGTCTGCTCGATCGTGACTCCCCAGTACACGACCGATTGACTCTCGATATAGATCAGGCAGCATTCTTTCATCTGCTGACAACCCTTGCGTTGTCAACCACGACAAAACTCCCTTGCCTTTCGCTTCCTCCAAGCGGATCAACGCCCTCTTCTTTGGCGTTTCCTCGCCTACTACTTTCTGCAAGTCTGTCTCCACCATGTGGCGCACTGCTGCATGAAGAGGTTTCGAAAGGAGAGCTTGGGCCCCAAAGACTTGGTAGTGTTGACCAAATTCATTTCGGCTGAAGGTAGACGGTGGTTGATGTTCTACGTCAGGGTTTCCATCTTCACGGGGTTTTCCTGCCTTCCCTGCTTCCAACAAGTAAACTCCTTTGAGGGCGGGGGTTAACTCATCACTTGTGGCAAGTTTAGCCCATGACTGCCCAACAGCTTTTTCAAGCTTGTCTTTGGTGATGATTTCCTCTAGCTTCTTCAGCGAGTCAATCAGAGCCAATCCTGTCGGTAGCTGGGCAAGCCGGGGTAGACATTGCTCAACTGTGTATCCTGTCGATGCTTGCACTGACTTGGAGAACACCAGCGCTTGCCCTGCCACAAAAGCCGATTCTCGAATGAGAACATTGCTCGTGATTCCTAGTCCTCCTTCACCCAATGGGTAGGTGCACCTGCGCCCGAGCTGTCCCTTTGGAGACNTCTCCTCTAGCTTCTTCAGCGAGTCAATCAGAGCCAATCCTGTCGGTAGCCGGGCAAGCCCGGGTAGACATTGCTCAACTGTGTATCCTGTCGATGCTTGCACTGACTTGGAGAACACCAGCGCTTGCCCTGCCACAAAAGCCGATTCTCGAATGAGAACATTGCTCGTGATTCCTAGTCCTCCTTCTCGCATGGGTAGGTGCACCTGCGCCCGAGCTGTCCCTTTGAAGAAATCTACCTCCTCGCTCTTCGTCGGGTCTGCGCGTACCTCTTTGACCGTTGGTATTCTCATGCTGTCGGCCATCTTGCCAAGGACGATCTTACTCATTGCCCACATCATCATGTTGTCATGTATTTTTGCGGCAGAGTTGGTGATAGACGGTGCAATCGTCCTCAGCAGATGGAACAAACGTGGCACACCAGATAAACGCAGCAGTTGATAGCTGGCTTGAGGGTCGTCAAGCGTTGCTAGGCGGAGTATCAATTCCGCCGGGTCACCACGGGCGATTTTGGAAACGAAATTCCTCTGGAACTCCTCTGTTCCTACTGGGATCCCGACAACTGGCATGCCACCTTCAGCAACTGACAGACCAATTTTCGTCAATTATTGCTGTTCGTCGTTTGCCAGACAAAGAGGATATGCAAAGACCTTCCGGGAAAAGCACTTTGGATTTCGGGAGACTGAGCTCAATCCCTTTTTGGGAGAGACATTCCTGAATCCATTTCGTTACAGTGGATATGGCCTGCATGTTCCTAGCCAAACCTGGTGGAAGATGTGCTTGGAGGTCGACGTATCCGATGAGTTTGACTCTTGGCACTGGTGGCTTGTTGTTGAAGTCTTTCATGATATCAAGGAGTCCTACACA